AAAATGTAAAAGAAAGTTTATCTTAGATCCCGTAACCACATTTCTAATCCAGCTCTGACTTGACAGCTATCCAGGGGGCCATATGAAGATGCAGATGACATTCTAAAACCAGAAATTTATGAAAGCATTTTCTGTTGTATTTTTTCCCCTCTCTGACTAGTTGGCTATTTCCCCTTCTTCTTCATATCTCTGGATAGTATTTATAAATTGTAGCCCTATGCTCACATAAAGCAAAACATTTTTGGGTTTTTTGTCTTTAACAAAACTCTCTTAGAACCTTTTTATTACTAGGTTCTTTCTCATATTCACTTTGCAAGATTTCTTCATTTCTCTAGCACAAATTATCTATAAATATATTTTGTCATACATATTTTTCTATGTGCATATTTCTTTTAGTAATAACTTTTTCCTGAAAAGAATGCCAATAAAGACAAGTCCATTAAAAATGTAAAATGTTGATGTAAATTCTCATTTTACTTTCAAATCACTTATCAAATATGAATGCTTTCACCCCAAAAGAGAGTGATTTATTTTTCTTTCCTGCATGATTTCCTCAGTGTGTGAAAGGAGAAACACAGTCATTTTGTTATACATTTAGTATGAAATTTTTCATTAGAAACCCTGTTACTTGAACTGAAAGAATGAGAGAAATGAATGTTCCATGTAGAGTTAGAAAACTTTTATGGGTATGTGAAACAGCACCAACTCTTTTTAGAGAATAATTCTAGTCTAAAGCATGAACAAAATGAAAAAATGAATATTTTGCCTTCCTACTGGAATAATAGATTGAATGATTTCAGACGTCTCTATTTCAGTGTATGATCCGTCTATTTTAGTTTCTTGAGTTGACTTCAGAAATTATCTATGGAGTTTCTATATTAAAAGTTTTGTTACCCAAGAAAGGCAGGCTTTTGTAGAATAACGTTTCAATATTATACATAATGTCTGACCATCATCAGTCTCAATTTATATTCAGCCAGTCTTTGATGCAGAGCTTCCATACCATTAACAGAGATAAACATATTTACCCCAAACTTTGCATTTTCTGTGATGAAAACAAGAATAGTCCAAATGGCATTCTATTTTATCACTAAATGTTCTTGTTTTTTCGTTCTTTGCAAATTAAGCAATGTTACTCACGTGCATAAACTAATATTGTCAACATGCGGCGAGCCCTTCAAGAATCTCAATATAATCCACCATCTGTGCATTGCTCTTGCAGGAATCTGTGGGAGCTAACAATATGTTTAGAGTCAGAGGTACTCTTGTAGTTGAAATGTTCTACTGTGCTTACTTGGGAACAAGACTCCTGTGATGTAAAATTCAATAGCATTATTTTTCACATTAGAAGATAATTTTCTTTCCTGTAAAAACAATTTTCTAAAGCATAAGCCAAGGGATTTTCAAGGTAGCACACAGATTATTTTATGAGAGTAAAAAATAGAAGCATAACTAGCAACTGAGTCTGATCCTTAACTTTCTCATTCACATGTTTATAGAAGAATGATGTGGTGAAAGTCTTTGGCAACTTTACTTTTAACTTCTGGTCTGTTCTCTAATGGTAAAACTTTCCTTTAAGTATTTAGAGCCATTTTCAGAAATTAGGTCTCCTTAGGAACTGAGTAATCCATAAACTCCCTTTCTCTGGTTTTGTCATTCCTAAGGACCTACGCTACTCTCTTCCCTCTTTTCTACTTCACTTTAATATTTGATCAGAAAGGAAAGTGCCTACACCAATGATAAACTAGATTATATTAAAATTATTTAGAGATATTTATATTTGGACTTCACTGACAAACAATACAATGGAAACAGACATATTAAAGATATGCTCAGCCATGAAAGAAAATTAAAGTTACAGACACACTAGCAGGAAACTGACTTAGATGAAAATTTTGATTTGGGAACCATTTGGATAGGAGGTAGAAATAACTTGTTTTAGCAATCAGTCTCCCAGCCTTACTGGAACCTGTAGCAACTTGGGGAGGTCCCCAACTTTCTAAAACCATCTCAAGACTAAACGTGGTGCCTTTGCTCCCATCTGCTTAGTCCTATAGGAATACTTATTATTACATAGATTTATTTCTTGTGTACTAGAGTGTAAGCTTCTTGCGAACAAGAGTCATATTTTGTTCATTCATTCATCCACATAACAAATATTAATCAAATGTCTGTTATACATTAATCAGTCTATTATCAAATGTTAATCCCCAGTCACTATTCCAAGCACTTGGGGTACATCAGTGTAAACATAAATCAAAACAAACTCCCTGCCCTCAGGTAGGTTTTAGTCTAAGAGGTTCAGTGTTCTAGTGCACTGACTTTCTCAGATCTACGTGCCTATGTGTTTTCTATGTCACTTATCCTCTGAATGTCTTCAGCCCCTGTTCCAACCCAGTCTTGCTCGGTGTCTGGTGTTCAGTACATACTTATTGAACTGAATAAC